CCAGACTTCTGGACTCCATCTTTCATGACGTCAAGTTCAAATTCGTGTTCAACTATCTTGACGATCTTTTGGTGTACAGTGAGAGCTTTGAAGACCATCTGGTTCATCTTGAGGAAGTCATGAATAGGTTGCTTAGGGCTGGCCTTACCGTAAATCCCGAGAAAGTTAGTTTTGCTCAGGCTGAGATTTCTTTCCTAGGTCATCTAGTATCATCTCGAGGTGTCTGTATCGATCCGGCTAGAACCCAGGCTATCAGGGAGTTTCCTCCTCCCCGAGATGTCAAAGGCATTGCCCGTTTCATCGGCATGGTGGGTTTCTACCGGCGCTTCATCCCCAATGTGGCTGAGTTGGCGGCTCCTCTCAATGAGCTTCGGAAGAAGGGCGCCAAGTTTGTTTGGGGTGAAGCACAACAGATGTCTTTTGATCTTCTGAAAGAAGCTATCATGCAACCTCCAGTTTTGGCGATGCCAGATTTCAGTCGAAAGTTTGTTTTGCAAACCGATGCTTCCTCCGTCGCTATTGCGGCTGTGTTGTCTCAAGAGGTAGATGGTGTTAGGCAGCCAATTGCGTATGCCTCACGCACTTTGAACCCATGCGAAAAGAAAAGCTCTTCTGTGTATGAGTTAGAGTGTTTGGCTGTCGTGTTTGGAGTGAATAAGTTCAGACGTTTTTTGGAACACAAAGAGTTTTTGCTGGAAACCGACAACCAAGCACTCTCGTGGCTCCTTGCACATCCTCGCCAGCTTGGGAAAATTGGTCGTTGGGTGGTCCAAATATCTTCCCTCAAATTCCAAGTGCAACATGTTCGAGGCACGCAGAATGTGATTGCTGACACTTTATCCAGGATGTATCACTCACCTGACGACCAACCTTCTGATCAGGAGGAGCACACAGGGTGTGCTGTGCTCCTGGAGTTTCCCCTCGCCTTTTCTGAGTTCATCCCACATCAGCTAAAAGATCCCGAGCTGGCTAAGATCATTGGTGAGCTTCAAAATGGGGGAGCCCACCCCCCATATTTTCTGTCCCAGGGTGCCCTTTGTTGTCGAAACCGACAGCGAGGTAAACCCAAGGTTGTGCTGCCTAGTCTTCTTGTACCCATGGTCTTTGCGTACTTTCACTCTTCCCCTGTGGGTGGGCACTTAGGGATTCACAAGACCATTGCAAAGGTTAGGGACATGTTCATCTGGAAGGGTATGGACAGGGACATTGCGGCACGAGTGCGTTCTTGTCAAACATGCTCGCTAAGCAAGCCTGCTCAGAATACCAAGTATGGGTTGTTGTCATCTGAGGTGGCGGAGAGACCTTTGGAGAAGGTTTTCATAGACTATGTAGGGCCTCTCCCACGTAGCAAGTCAGGAAACAAATTCTTGCTTGTTTGTGTGGATGCCTTCTCCAAGTTTTGTTGGCTTTTTCCTTTGAGGAACGCCACTGCACAGCTCACCGTGCAGGCACTTCGTACCCATTTGTTTCAACACTTTGGAATACCCGCCACCATTGTTTCCGACAACGGAACTCAGTTCGTGTCTCACCTTTTCAAAAGAATGTGCTTTGGGCACGGTATCCGCCATGTGACCACTTCTCCTTACTATCCACAGCCTTCCCATGCTGAGAGGTTCAACAGAAATCTTCGATCCGCTCTCATAGCTTTTCATGCTGACAAGCAGACCACCTGGGATCAGGAACTTCCTTGGATTCAATTTGCTTTCAATACTGCACACCATGAGAGTCACAAGGCGGTCCCTTTCGAGCTGTTGTTGGGCTATCCACCCAATAATCCCTTGGCAAATGTGTGGAAAATTGGCGACCTTCTGCCACCCCCTGGTGCGGCCAATGTCAAGGCAACTTGGCAGGCGGCTAGGAGGAACTTGATCAGAGCTAGGGAATTGGTCCGGAGGAAGCACAATCGAGGTCGGTTGGACAATCCTTTCCAGGTGGGGGATTTGGTTTTCTGTAAGGCTCATCCGGTCAGTTCGGCCGTGGACAAGAGAGCCGCAAAGTTGTCTCATCGGTGGTCAGGTCCCCACCGTATCTTGAAGTTCTTGACTCCTGTCTCCGTGCGGCTGGGAGATCCGCAGACTGGAGAAGTTTTCCGGAGGGCTCACATTTCTCATCTGAAGCCTTTCCGGGGAACAATTCCGTAGGTCATCTTTCATTACTCTTGTGTCTGAGTGGGAAGTGCACTGGGCCAGAGAGCTTGATCACCTCTTCTGTCCCTTGTGCGCTGCTGAAGATTTTTCCCTAGTAAATTTTCCAGCACTGGCCAGTGCAAACCCTGGGGGTGAGTAGTCCCTCCAGTTGAAAGACTTTTGGCGTTCCCCACTTCAGACACTTGAGTTGATCTGTGGTGTTGAGATCTTCTAGAATTGGGAGAGGTTGTTTTCCTTTTTTTTTGGAGAGGAAGTCCTCCTTTGGGGGGGGAGGTTGAGCCGTGATATGCCCACCAAGCGTCCCACCAATGTCACGCCTCAGTGTTTTTTTTATAGTGTGAGTACTGGCTTTGCGCCGGAACTCAGTCGGTTTGGGTCGGGCAGCAAACCTGCAACCCAGAGTCAATGTCCGCCTTCTGTCACATTTTCACCAGAAGGCCGGCGATTGTTGATTTGTAAAGACTTGTTTATCTTCGATGAATATCAGTGTTAATCCTTTAATGGCACTGTTAATTTTGTTCATCCGTTCTTCGTAGACTCAAGTCATGGTTTAAGTGTTTCGCAAACGTCAGATGAGGTCCCGGATGTGAGGCTTCACCAGCCGCTGTCCTCGGAGAGGGTCGCCCGGAGGGACACTCCATCTTCTGCCTCCTTGGGCTGCCTACGGCCCAGCTTCTCCGGGGACCATTAAGCTACTCACCGTCACCCACCACCACCGCCTGCCACCAGCAAGGATAATAATTGTGCCTTCAGACCGCAAGTTTTATTTTGTTATACAAATTTTTCGAAGGACTTGATACTAAAAGGGGCCCCCAAATCAATTTATTATTCGTTATTTATGTTTATAGTATTTATTATTTATTTAATTGTTAATTTTTTCAAAGTTTAAAGTAGCCTATATTTACAGTTACCATCTTTAATTTATTCATAGTTAGGCCTAACTTTTCCACATTTAAGTTACCAGTTATGTAAGGTTTAGAAGGGTAAATTTAAAATTCTTATTTATTAAATTTTTTCAGAAAAGAGATTATTAAAAAGAAATTCTTTGGATGGGTAAAATCATTGTTGTTTGTTGTTATTTGTTGATTTTGATAAATATATAGGCTTTTGTTCACAATTCTTTGTTTTGCTTTGATGTTCACCCACGGCCTTTCACTTTTGTCAGGGTTGTGGGGCGACCACTCGCACTGTCACTATGGGGGGCATGCTTCCTTCAGTTGTTCGTCTGGGGGCGGTGCGAGGGGTCGGCTCAATTGTAAGGCAATAAGCAGCATTACAACCTCAATAATGATATCCTCAAGTGGCGGGCGGAGTGTATCGTAACGTTCATGTACAACTTGCGACCACACAATAACTCATTCGATATGTTTACGAGCGGTTTGTTCGATTGAGATATTTACAGCTGTTTATTGCACAATCTGATTGCAACTGTCTACCTCGACAGTGGTTAATAATCGGAGAAAATAAAGCAGTAATAAACCAGGTAACAATGGGAAGAGTCGTGGCGTTCTACATCGAGGTGAAGGATGCAGTCTTCGTGACCGAGGTAACTGAAGAGTCTGTCGCGGAAAATAGTCAGTGTTCCGGATTGTATCTTGTACTGTGTTGGAAATTGGGTTTTCTACGGAATGCTGGAAATTTGGAATGAACCCCAAATTACATTTAACTTACCCAACCCATCTTTACTGAAGGATATGGAGGTTTTGTGGTCGAGAGAAAGTAGTCTGTTGAGTGTCAGAGGAAAACAGTCATAAATTTTTATCTTGTATGATGGATTAGAGATTAACCTAGTGGAAATTATGATTTACTCTGGGTTAAATGTTTATAGATGTGAGAATCAGAGTAGTTGGAATAAAATTTAGCATCAGGCTTGATTGGAAAGGTACCAATAATGACATTTGGAAGAAGGAAGAGATTTTACCTTGCACTACTTTCTTCTTAGTAATTCTTGATTTGTCTTAGAGATATTTAGAGTATTAGTGAAAAGAGAGGAAAACTTGGTTAGATACTTTGATCTATTCATCAACATGAACTCAGAACATTTAAACCAACAATAGGAATAATGAAGCTCATGTTAATATTCTTAAATTCCAAAACATGTGTTTGAGACGGACTAATGGGACAAATATTTAAATGTCAAAACTTTTATATCTTATCAATAGAATACTTAACACTAGGTGAGCTGGAAATTCTGAAAGGAAACACCAAACTACAATCCATCTCTTCTTGCATGTCATGTGTCGACAAATGACGAGAGTTTTAGGAAGTGGGATATTTACTCAATTTTGCAACGTCGTCTCTAAACAAACAATTTCTTTGACGGGAGACTATTATAACTATTTTGTGTGCACGTATATTTTACAAGTACTGTATAATCCGTGGTACATGTACAGATACGGGTACGGGATACCGTCACGAGCAAGCGACGCCAAGTTACACCGCGCACACTATATTACTGTATAATCCGTGGTACATGTACAGACACAGGTACGGGATACCGTCACGAGCAAGCGCCGCCAAGTTACACCGCGCACACTATATTACTGTATAATCCGTGGTACATGTACAGACACGGGTACGGGATACCTTCACGAGCAAGCGACGCCAAGTTACACCGCGCACACTATAGAACCTTTAGACAAGCGGTGATTCACCGGATTCAATTAGCGGCCCATTCAACCGAGAGGCTTTCATCTTTGATCGAGAGTTTCGATAAATTACTGTGTTATCGCCTTTGTTGACCTTTTGACAGCTGACACGCCGACGACGGTGGCGCTGTGAGAGACTCGCCGCACATTCTAGCGGCGGCTGAGGGAACTACGCTAGCGCGGGTGCGCCAGTCTGTGTCTGAGCGTCATCGAGTGAGGTTGTGTCTTGTGATGTTCCGCTCCCGTTGTGGCCGGTGATCGCGCCGTCGGTGTTTTGCGGACAAGTGTTACGAAAGTGAGTGCAAATGAGTCTGTACGACAATATGATCAGTTCCAATGGGAACCAGTACCTTAGACCGGAATACCTTTCTCCTCTTCCTACTACGGTAAGTTCACATGTTAAATAAATTATAGTAAGCCTATCCTTTATCTTTTAATGATACGACAATTTTAATACATTTTATATACTGTAGGTTAGTAACTTATTATAAATTTATTACTTAAATATAAAATGCTGGAAAACCTTCTAGCAATGATTTACTAATCAATCATGTTGCACTAATTTTTTTCTTCCACTAAATGTTTCATTTAACTGAATTATTGTACAATTTTAAGTCTAAGAAAACCATTACAGGAGATTCTACATACTAACCTACACTTAACAAAAACAATTAACGTGTAAAGTGAGATGTATCGATGCATAATAATCTGTAAACATGTCACAAGAAGAAAGATAGCAATAGCAATACCAGTTAATTCAAAATCAAGTCAATCATAATTTACCAACACTATAACCTATTAAGTTTCCCCTGTCACGTAATAGAGGTATTCAAAGATATGTAAACTACATCGTTACCCAGTAACAAATGTTATCCAGGATAACAGCGGAACATAAAAGTAGAGTCATTAGGAGCAAGGGCGAGCTATTTATCATGGAAATCGCATGTTCTGTTCTGTAGGAGTCGCTAAACAAATTGCCTATTCCGACCCGACGTTGATGTATGCCGGCGTTCTCCTCTCTTCGTTATTTATGTTATGTACTTCTTTTAGCTTACACCGCAATAAATCTTTGTCTCATTTCAACGGTTCCTTTATGAATACCCTCAAGCAGACGTTGACTGATCGCGCGCTCTTTTGGCTCTGAATGTATGATTTGTGTGTCAACTTCACTCAACTATCAATTCTCTTTATGTTCGCTCCACTATTTCAGCCTTTTAGTTTCGAGTTTCATGTTTAGTTTGGATCTTTTTATGACAGCTCAATGTTTATTGTTGGAATACAAATTTAGCATTCATGGTTAAATTTATATAGAAATATTTTTTTAATGCAAACGTTTTATAAACGTGACGAATTTTCTTCACTCAGTTTAATTTTTCAGTTGCATATAGATTGCTATTTTATCTCTTTCAAACTATAAGACACAATATTATCGTGCAAAGATTATACAGGATTAATCATTTAATTATTTAACGCGATAAAATTTACACTCTTGACTAGCCTTGTTCGTGAACATTTTTTAAATGTACTTAGCTCACTAGTTACAGGATACATAACTAACTAATACATAACTATTAGAGCTAAGTTAGTAGCCTAAATTTCTGTTTTAATCTGTGCAGAGATTTCGGGATTATAATTTCAAATAAAATAAAACCATCCATCCATAGCATAACATGACAGAGGTTTTTTGTTTTTATATAAAGGTACGGTAGTTCTAGTTACAAATCCAACAGGTGTGGTATCAGCTTTTTACATAACTGTAATAGCGCAATTGTAGCGTCGAAAACAAAGGTTTCATCTCAATTATCGCACATTATGTGAGCTCAATTAACTACGTGGGATATTTGTTCACCTAATGATTAGATTAAAAGGTGTTTGATTGGGGAATAAGGCTTACGACGCATTTGAAGTAGGTTATAGTTAATGAACAATATTGAAATGATTATTTCAGCACGAAACTATACGATGTGGCAAATCACTTTCGACGTGAATATTTTCCGGATGGTTGTGAAAAGGTTGAACGTCATTTTGAAATAGAGATGCATTTATAAAAAAAACTCCACTTTTAGTTTTAGTAGACCTTTTGTGCTAGTCAGCTATTTATTTGACAGGACACAAACACTCAGGTCTGGGGACCTCCTGAAATTGAAAATGGGTTTGCAGGGGATTGAACCCATCGCGCTCGCGCCGTAGGTAGCCAACGTGACGCCAACCACTTGGATAAAGGCATTTTTTTTAGGAAACATTTATATCTTGAATGTTTGTATAGAAAAGATAGATTGTTTACAATGATTTAGTTTTTAGGCTATATTATATTATCCAGGGTGTGTGTGTAATGGTAGATTTAACATCGTCGTCCCTCCCTAAACTGAAAGAAATCACTGAAATTTAGCCAAATGGAAGTAACACTGTTATTAAATTTAGCTGTTTCCATTATTTCAATTATTATCTAATATACGAAGTAGAATGTATCCAACGCTCCAATGCTCTTCCTTTCTAAATAATAATACATAATGGACATACGATGTATTAGTTAGTAGTAGGTTTGAAAAATACACCAATAATAAACACAAATACTACATGGATGATTTAAAATCTCTAGAGGTCGTCCAGTGGTCGAAACTCGACCAAACATAATCTACAGACTTCTCTATTTTCACCCCACGCTGTAAGTTAAACATGTGATGAGTGTGTAGCAGTCGATTTGTTTCGATTTTCTTTTTATTTATTGTTGTTATTTTGTCACCAGCATGGTAACCCATAAGGCCCATGTTAATTTATATTTTAAATTAGTTTGTTGTGGTTATATTTTATCCTATTTCAATTTATAAAGGGATTCTGCACATCTACAGGAAAATATCTTTCTGAACACAATCCATTTAAACATTTTAAACCGTCACCGAACTATCAGATTGCAACTACCCCCTCCCTCCAGAAAAGCTGAAAATGACTTAAGCATATAGGAATTTAGATACAATCTACATTCTCACAACCAAAATCAACAGATTGATGGAGCTACATTTTACATTTTATCAGTAAACTGTATACCACGTTTCTACAGACGACGCAGCCAAAGACCAGTAGTTGAGTAGTTAACATTTCAACCCAGTTTCAATCTTGCCCCCGTTGACAGGTTCACTCCCTATATTGTTCGTCCACAACTATAAATCGTGATCCGGCCAAGGTCTGGTTTTATTGCTCACATGCATCAGAGCCGTTTTATCGGCAGAGTTAATGTCACAGTGTATTTATTACTGTTGCACCACAGTTAATGACATTGCGTAGGTGTACAGTGTATAGACCTACCGCACTGCACTCTAGCGGGGCCACCGTCGAATCACAACTTGACACATGAAGAAATGTAGCAGATGAAAATAAATCAGTTGTTTGGAGAACTATATGTATAAAGAAGAAAAGCCCAAGAAGCTAAAAAGCACGCTAAAAAGTTTAATTTAGATATTTAATATAATTAAACATTTATATTCTTAGTACGAGTTTTGTTTTAGGATGGGTCCAACTGATATTTTAATTATTAGGTATTCATTGAGTTACGATGCTTTGATCGGACATTTAGCTTATTCACATTGCATACAATGTGGTGCAATACTCCAACGTACTGTAATTTTCCTAGACTGATAATCCTGGATTATTATTAATACTTATCGAATATGTACACAGAGGATTCAATTTAGTTTTAAGAATACTACCTATACAATAATGAAAACTTTCCAACGCCGTTTAAATTATAATGCAATTCAACTACTGCTATCAAATTGCTTTCAAAATATTGAAGGCGTCTGGTGAAAATGATCAAACAATTCAATCTAATCCATTAATTAAAATAAAGGCTGATTACTTTTAAAGCACGTATGCAAAATAGACACATGTATGCCTATAATCCCTAGAGATTATGTTATTGTCTACCGGGAAAAAAAAGGGTATTCGCAGTTCTTTTGTACGTTGTAGGATACAAAATACGTCGTATTTTTCGAAGTTTGTGCAACTTGTCACTCTTCCAGATTAAAACTTGACTTAACAACTAGCTAACAACAACTATACATTATTCTGCGTTTAGTATTCAAAAATCTTTACACATTTGAGTCGCTGTTTTCACGATTGTAGCATTGGTCCAGACTCCAGATAGCCCTGCGAAATTGTGTTTGGATGTAGGCTTACAGATTCACCTGCCCAAAGGCTAACCAGTCCACTGGACATGGGTATTAGCTTTGATGACATTACACTATTAGACGAAATGCATTAGCCTGTGAACAAGTTTACTTAGGCAGCAAGCTATACATGTACTAATAAGTAGAGTTCGATAGCTGTCTATGTAATTTCCTAACAATCATGGCGTAGTAGTAGTTTACGCAACGATAGCGCGTAAAGATAGTGTTAACGACACGAGTACTTCTACGAATGTCGTTAACATTACTTATGCGAGTTGCATACAACTACTTTACCTACGACAGTGTTTTCATTACTAAAAATCACTACCCATAACTTCTTATGTTTTCTTTTATAACCTCTCATTGCTACTGCAACGAAACATTCTACCAAACACTAATTGCAACACTCAACAATTAAATTGGCTTGAACAGCTGATTAGTTGAAGTTCGAATCATTACAATTTCACATCTTCTCTCTCATTCCTTGAACCTCATTGGTCCGTTACCCGTGTTGTTATGTGTAAAACTATACTGTTATGAAAGTAAACAATGCTGTTATGAGAAACTTTTCAATTCTAGGAACTGAACTGAAACGGCTACTTTAAAAAACGGCCGTAGGTAAATGTTTGTTATACTTATCCAGTATCCTTTGTATAGCGCTGATTTCAACGTTTTGGTGTAAAAGTAGGCCCACCATCCTAATTTGTAATATGCCCACGAACGTTTTGAATTTTCTGTTTTCGAATTACCGAACAGACAGTGTTTTTGTTGTCTCCACCCTCAGCCACGATGTAGAGCATTTCTTCGGTATGATGTTAGATTCGATTAAATCGCTGCACGCGGATTTAAATCTTCTCTTTACTAATGTAAAAATTATATCTCGTAAAAGTACGTTAAATGTCATAAATCAGTGTTTTTGTTGTCTTTCTCCGCAGACCTAGAGTGTAGCTTCTAGCAAAGCAGCTAGAGTTATGAATACCAGTAAAGCGCAGCGCGGCGGTTCCATCTCCTTTCTCTTTATCAATGTAAAAGTTGTGAAGACATATGGATGTTCTGGAAGGTACGTAGTGTCGACAGTGGAGATTAATACCTCGCGTTGTCGTAGCGCTGGCGGTCGTGTGTCATGCTGTCATCTTGTCCTACCTCCGCCTCTACCCCCCTCTCCTCTCCCCCTCTCTCCCCCTCTTACCCCGTTACTCACACTTTTCAATATACTATGTAGG